TGAACATGATGTAATCTATGCAGAAATAGAAGTACAATGATGTACACCTGAAATTTTTACAATGTTATAAACCAATGTTACTGCAATAAACAAACAAAAAAAAACCAAACCAAAACAAAACAAAAGTTAAAAACTCTGAGTTTATACTGTGATTCCCACTCTCTTCAAGTGCATGTCTGAATCCCCTTTCAGATGTATTCTTTACCTTGTTTACTTAGGTTTCCCTTGTTTTCAAAATGTGCATTTAAATCTCTTTTTCAAATATACATTTTACCTTGTTTACTGTTAATCCCCCATTGTCCAAATGCATATTTGACTCACTTCTCAAAATTGTACTCATACCATTCTATGAGTTCTGTTGTATAAGGTAGTCCTTGATAAACACTTAAATAATATTCTCTTGCAAGGAAACTGATTCCTGTTGGAGTTTAAGCTCATGGACCCTAGGCCCAGGACTTCTGGATCCAGACTGCCTGGGTTTGAATCCCAGCTCCACTACTTAAAAGCTGTGTTGCCTTGGGTGAGTTATTTCAACCTCTATGTGCCTCTGTTTCTCTCTCTACAAAGTGGGCGTAATAACAGTACCTACCTCATGGGATTATTATGGCAGATTAAATGAGATGATATATGTAAAGTACTTAACATATTGCCTGGCAGGTGATAAGCACTGCTATCTATTATTATTTTGTAAATTTAGGCAGGAGGAGAGGTGTTTCATACAGTGCCACACAACTGGAGTGAGCCAGAATTTGGAGACAAATTTTGCTGGGAAGGGTCTCGACTCCTTAGCTTGTGAAGTAGCACCTGCATAAAACAGTGTTGAATCGTTGGTCTGTGTGCGGTAATATACTTACGTCCTGATTTTTTCCTGCTCTTGCCATTATGTTGACTTGGCAATACTTTGATTAGGTATTAGACATCATACTTAAATAGTTCCATGAGTGTTTCTTTCCATTACCTACTGTCCACCTTTCTTCCTTAGGATCCATCCATGTTTCATATTGGTTGCTCTGCCTACTTTATTTACCCTCTTTCTGCTGTGACATTCCTACAGCAGGGATCCTAACCTGGCTAGCTCCACTAGCTGCAACAGGGCGATATACCTCAGGATTTAGGCTCAGGACGCTTTCTCTGAGATGCAAACATCAGGCCAAGGGCCAGAGATTTGGTTTTGGGTGGGGAAGTGTGTGGAGGACTCAGCACTATCCCATAGTATCTTGAGTAGTGCTTTTGGACTGTGGTAGAGCATGTGGTGTACTTATGAATGTGAACTTTCTTTAGCAGAAGCAGAGCACACTCAGGACTATGGTGAGTTTAGGCTGCAATGTTAAGCTTTGCAGATGCACCTAGTTCTGTCCCTTACATACTAGCTCCTGGAAATTCTCTGCTCGATCTTCTCACAAAAGGGTTGAGAGTACCTTACTTTGTATAAGAGATTTTATCATAATTATAATTAATGTTATTAATTTAATAAATATTAAAGAGACATTCTATTCAAAAGATTGTTTAAGGAGCTGTAAGGCACACAAATATAGCCAAGGTGGTTTCTTAATATTGAATCCGGCATCATTGACAGGCTTTTTACATGGCAAGACCCACATAAGGAATTGGATCTTGCAATCTCAGATTTGATATCTTGGTACATCTGTTCTAAGGCCAAATCACTGACCTGCAACATATAGTGGTTTAGTCTGGAGCGTCACTTAGTTGATAGCTAAGTCTGCTTCTCTCATCACACTCCCTTCCTCAAGCTTGACAGGTATTCCCAACAGGAAGGAGACTGGACCTGGGACCTCACCCTCCCCAACTCTGTTCTGCTCCAAGCCTTTACAGTTACTGCCTCCTCATTTGTTCTTCACATCAAGGTCGTAAAGCTTTGAAAAGTGAAAAGTGATTTCTTTCCACAAAAAAGGTGAGGATCTCTTGGGTCTAGTAAATCTCTTTCTGGTGCTAGAGACCTGCTCTGTCCCCAGACTGGCACTGACTGATAGGTGTCTCTGACAGGTCCCAGTGTAACCCCTTCATTAACCTGCTGGAGAGGCACCATGTTTGTTTATCACATTTGCTGCGGGGCAACTCAAGCCCTGAAAGTTTGAGACTCAGGATAGGACAGTTTTGCTTGTTGTGGACATGGCCATGGAAAGGCCTGTGTAGCCAGAAGATGCCATGCTGAGGAGGCTAGTGAAGGAGTAATAGGACCCCTGGGTCCAGGCCCTGTAGAGAGAGAATGCTTTGTGGAGAGAAACCTTAGCTATTTTCCCATCTTTGCCTAGGTCTGACCTTCCAGAAGGGATTTATTTTCCACCATTCCCAACCATCGCTGTCAGCATTATCTACATTTTGTAATGTTTGACTCTTTGGCAGCTCAGCAGTGTCATTCTTGAGAGGGTGTAAAGATGATAGTGGTTGGAAGGCCTCAGGGAACACCTAAATATCTATGGTCTTGGTTAGGGGTCTATTTAATCTTCCTTTTCATGATCCTTGGGTAACTAAGGATTATTTACATTTCAAATAGAATTCAGATATGCACTAAATTTCTAAAAGGCACTCCCCAAAATATGAACAGGTCAATCATTAAGGCCTTTTGTGCTAAAAGTCACCTGGTTCAAACTTTCCATTTAAAAAATGACAGAACCATAGCCTAGAGAAGTAAAATGACTCACTCTAGGTTATACAGCTGATTAGTGGCAGAGGTGGGAGGTAAACTCTGGCTTCTTGATTTCCAGATTCTGTATGATACCACACTGCGCAACCAACCAACCAATCAATTAATGAGTCATGGAGCCTTGGTTAAATGGCTGAGATTTTCCCATATGCCCCTCCCCTTTCCTCTCCTCCATGGTAAAAGGGAAGCAGAGAGCATCGTACCTGAGCAGCCTTCTTACTCAGCTCAACGGCAATATCTGAGGCGGAGTTTCCTATTCCAATCACCAGGATGTGTTTCCCCTCAAATCCCTCTGGGTGCTTGTATTGGCGGCTGTGGAAATACTGACCTTTGAACCTCTCGATACCTAGAGGGGAAGAAGAGACAAGTCCGTGAACTATGTCAAGTTAATTTCAATAAAACTGCGTTGTCAGCTTTTCCTTTCTGGGGTCAATCATTTGTTTTGTCTCTTCTCCTCTTAAGGGAGTTACAATAGCAAGGTCAAGTGACAAACTCAAAGTACCAAGTATATAGGAAATGTTGGGTTAAGCATAGGGTATAGGACCAAAGGAGTTCCTTTTAGAAGCTGCAGCTTACATATTTATTATGAACAAACAAACAAAGAGAACAAACAAATGTTTTTGATGAATAGAGCAGTCAGATGCTGGCTTCTGACTACCCATCATTCTATTTCAGACTGTTCAATGATACTTTAACATCACATAGCATATATTCTCTTAAATGATTCTCAAATACATTATGAAGTGCTATTATTGTAATTGTGTAATAATTAAAATAATATTTATCAGTCTTATTTTGCAAAAGCAAACAAAAACGAAAACAAAAAACCAGACATAGAAGGTGAGGGATGATTTCCTTGTTCTAGTAACTTACTGGACAAGCCTCTTCAAAGACAAGACTCTTTGTCCTTTACCAGGAATACAGGACTTTAGTAAACTATTTGCCATTGATGGTGGGTTACTTGAAAGAACCTTGAGATCATTAGTTGTCAAAGTGTGATCCCTCGGGTAGCAGCATTAGCATTACCTGGGAGCTTGTTAGAAATGCATATTCTCAGCCACACACCAGACCTACTGAATTGGAAATGCTAGGGGTGGGGCCTAGCAAGTTGTGTTTTAAAAAGCCCTCTAGATGATTGTGTTTGAGAACCATTGCTTTAGATCAGTAGGTCTCAATGCTGGCTGCATATTAAAATCACTTGAGCAACCCTTAATTGACCTAGGCCTATCCTACACCTATTGAATCTTGGAGTTGGTGCCCTAGGCATCAGGACTTTTTTTTTTTTTTTTTTGTTTATTGCAGTAACATTGGTTTATAACATTGTAAAAATTTCAGGTGTACATCATTGTACTTCTATTTCTGCATAGATTACATCATGTT